CTCGCCGGAGCAGTTTGCCGCGAAACTCGAAGAACTTGACATATTGAAAAGAGAAAAGGATGAAAAGAAATAGGAGAATTACCGAGAAAAAAGCCTTGGGTGCCGATTTGCAGAAAGTTCCGAGAAGATCTGGAAGTTGCCTTACTGTTTTCTCTGAAATTTGCCCGAAATCGCTGAAGAGGTAAAAGCTTTGCGAAGCAGACGAAGGAGGATATATATAGGGAGATTCGGCCAATCATAACGAGACACGTGGCGGCGTTTGAATTTCAAAATTAAATGAAAAGTAACTGTTCGAATCGAACAGCCACGACTGAAGCCATCCGACGGTTCGCGAACAACCGCGTGGATCCTACGCGCCTGATAACTGCCCCTTCCACTGAAGCGACGCGACGCGCCACGTGGGCGAATCAGATCGAGACACGTGTATAGGCCTTTGAAACGACACGACATTTCAGGGTCGACAAGAATTACAACGGCCATATCGCATTAATGGAGGCGTCGTTTCAGCTCGCGTCATCAATATACCAGAGGTAATGCAAGTTCGACTTCAAGGGAAGTGGAAGAGCGAGATGAAATTTGGCCAACTCGGGGCTGAACACCATTTGAAAGACCTCAGATGAGATGCTAGGAAACACCCCCTCCGAGCTCGGGGGCCAGTATGTTGATATCCGAGTTAGCTCGGAAGGAACCGAAAAAAAGGAATCACCTATCAAGACCCGGTCCGGCACAGAAGTGCCGAGCTGAACCTTGAAATTAAGTACCAAGGACCACTATAGGAACGTTCCTCCGAGATCGGCACCCGACTCAGTAAATGCACGAGATGACCTCGACGGGTGCCGGGCTGAAAAAGGAGTCCTGGGCATCCCATAAGTGTATTCAAGAGAAGTGTCGACCTAATGATCCGGAGCGGCCCTCTTGAAGAAAAGGACGGGGCTCGGTAAACATTAAAATATTTCCACTTGGAAGATCATCATTGGACAATGGGACGGGATGTCATAGTCTACTACCCTACATCAAAGCCTAGTCAGAGGACCTGCCAGCATTTAATGTCCCCCCATGCTCGCGTTAAATGTCTGACAGGTAATGATTGAAGAAACTTCAAATTGCATTAAATAGTTGTCAGGGGGACGTCGAACTGCTCTGCAGAACCATTGTGCGACAAGACTGGTGAACAGTACCTGAACAGTACCTCATTTAAGGACACTATAAATAGCAACTCACTTTATTTATTTTGGGTTGTTGAACCTCAACTAACTCTACCTTCTCTCTACTTTCTCACTCTAGAATTGTAGGAAATCTCCTGTAAGAATTGTAAGTATATCGCAAGTGCCGACCTCGTACGAGAGGCCGACCTCGTGATCACTTAATAAAATCGTAATTAAACTATATCTCTCATTTGTTTTTAGTCCCATACTTTTATCATTTATCATTTTAACCGTTGACTGAAAACGCTCGTCAACAATGTTCGGGTCATTAAAAACAAATTTAAAACCATACATCACATTCAACAACATTCATCAAATACATAGTCGGCCATAATAGTGGATTAAACTAATTCTTGCAAAACCGAATTATGCGAATATAATCCAATATATATGGCTGCGTTTAAACACATCTTGTCAAATAAAGCCGTAAAAATATAAACTTGTACAAAACGAATTAACCAAGTGCTCTGATACCACTTGTTCGGATCTATGAGGATCTCGTTATGTACAAATCACGAATTCAATAGCAAACGTAAACCTATGCCCAATGAACTAAAGGTTTGACGTAGAAAACTTACGGCTCAAAATTTATGGCGATCTGCCTGATCTTCCGGATGGCTATACACAACACACGAACGGGATTGGATCATGAACGGAACGTCAGACTCGCAATTGGATCGGGTGTCTGGCTCGGATCAGATCGCCGGGATGCCGGGCGCGGGCTCCCCGAGATCGCATCGTGGGGCTACTGTTGGGCGCGTGCGGCAGCGCGTCGCGGGTCGACGGGCTCACGACTGGGCTAGCGGCGATCGTGTGGTCCTCGGTCGGGTGGTCCTCGGCGTCGGGGTTGGCGGATCTAAGCCTTTGGGTCGTGGTCCGTCAGCTTCGTGTAGAAGATTATCGGGTCTCGAACACCTACGGATCTTCTACTGTATATCTCAAACACCCTCTTCAAATTGTACAGGTGGAACAACAACAAGAAGATAAAGCTCGAATGAGAACTGAGAGAGAGAGGGGTCGGCGCGCGTGGGGCGTGTATTATGACCTTGTGCGTTCTTTTCTCATGAGCTTAATGATGTATATATAGATCTACAGTAGAGACCCTTAGGAGATTAGGATTAGGGCTTCTTAATTAATTAAAATACTTGTGGACCAATCCACTTATTTTAATTAATTAAATAATATTAAACGGACCACCAATATAATATTATTGCACTCCATTTTCCTAGCTCAATTTACAATTGAGACTCCAATAATAATTACTCGAATTACCTCCTCATGTTTAAGATATAATGTCCATTAATTAATTCGATACTAACAATCAAGAATTAATTAATTTATTATTATTTCACCGAAACTAGCGCTCGTTCATCACATTATTACTATGCCAGAATTTAGTCCACCTGTAGGGTTTAGCATAATAATCCTTTATGAACTCACTCCGGGGACATCATCAAACTAAACGTACATGGTGACTGTAAATATCCTAACAACACATCATACATGTTGCCATATTACCTGTAATGCCTCGTTTGAATATGGAAGAATTGGGTTTATTATTTGTTATCTTTATTATTATTATTATTATTAATATTAATTGCTATTAATTGTCTAAATTTATTTGTAATTATTATTAATATTAATATAAATGTCTTATATGTTTAATTGATTTTATGTGTATTGTTATCATCCGACTCGGTCAGATGCAATTAAGGACCTTAAACCACGTCTTAGGCGAATTTAACTCCAACACCTACGTGACCCAAAGTCATCCCGGTTCGCGCACTAAACCGGTACCACCATAAAAGACCGAAGCAGTCCATACCTACCGAAATCATTCCAAACCGAGGTCAACATGGGCCAAGGTCGTCACCTCCTAAAGCAGGTGACAAGGCGCCTACACGCTCCCATCACAATCTACGAGATTTATCATCATTCACGTAGGGCCCACTAGTTCAGCCGCCCATCAAAAGTAGCCTTTTCTAAAAGGCAATGCACGGATCCCAATGTATGTATCAAAAAAGTTACTATAAATAGCTAGCTAGTGATACCTGTAGGGGATTCGATTCCAGACCCAACATTTACAATGAAACACGCAACAGCCCACAGAGGCTTTTCACCTCGGTCCACCTCAGACCGGGGCCACTGTTGAGTCTTTCTCACATATTTTACGTCCAAACCACTCGTAATCATCACATAAATCCAATATTAAATCGTTGTCAGGAATCATACGACAACAGTTTGGCGCTAGAGGAAAGGCCTCATAAGTGATTTGAGGTTACTATCCGACTCTTGTTTAGGCGATCCACATCAACTGTATCAATCATGTCTCATTCTGATCATCGTAGCCATACTTCACGAGATGGCCACAGTCGCAGTGCTGCGCAATCCGCCCGACGACCAGTCGTAGCCCCTCATATACCAGATTACACTGTTCTGTTCCAAAATCCAGAGTTTGGACGTGGGTTCGCTACCTTGATGGCTTAAATGATCCCTGGAGCATCAACGACTGCCCCAGGACATTCCATAATACCCACAACACATGCAAATCCGCAGAATCCACCGGCACGGCAAGACGGCGGAAGGACCACATCTCACGCCACGTCTCAACCCCACAGTCGGGTGTCGCAGCCGCCTCCAGAACAAACCACGCGTCGCACCGACGTTGGATGCAATCCCTAAGTGCTTCCTCATGAAGAAACTGTTTAAAGTCAGTCTGGACATTCACGACGATCGCCACCTCATGCGCGACACCGAATCCCTTCCATCCCGGCGCAGACCGACCTTCGGCAACACATTGAAAGGAATCGGGCTCGTCAAGAATCATCCGAACTTGAAACATTACGACGATGAATTGCCGAACTGGAAAGTCGGCAACGGGTACCCGAAGACCCCTCTCGGCGGGCCTCAACTTCGGCACAAGTATATCTGGAAGCCGACTCCCCTCTCACACCAGAGCTCACTTCGGAACCTGTACCTGGGAAAGTTAAAGTCCCTCAAATTGGGTTATATGATGGAACTTCAGACCCCGACTCACACCTTGGTCACTATACTTCGTGGATGGATCTGCATGGGCCTCAGGCGCACTTCGGTGTCGTATGTTTTCTCTCACGATGGGGCCTCGGGCCAAAAAATGGTACCATTCTCTTCCTCCTCACTCTATTTGGAAGTGGCAACAATTGAGGTCGGCTTTCCGATCTCATTTCATCGGGGCCCAAGTCTATCTAATTCCAAAAGAATCTCTCGCAAATGTAACACAAAAAGACGATGAAAGTGTCAAGGATTACATCGCTCGGTTTAACGACCGAGTTCAGAATATGGAGCCTTGTCATCCTGAAACCCTGCTTGTCATGGCTATTGCCGCGCTGAAACCGAACTCGATTTTCCGCTGGACATTGTGTCAAAATAAGAAAAACACCTTTCAAGAATTTCTTACTTGAGCTCAGCAACACATCATAGCCGAGGAAGCCATGTCGGTCCCCGACTTTAATTTTAACCCGAAGTCATCTAAGGCGGGAACCAACGAGAAAAAGAAAAACAAGTTTTTTGAAAAGCAAAACAAGACTCAGTTTAGAGGGCCTCCCCGAGGAGATCCCAACGATCCTAAAGTACGAACAGCCCGAAAACAGTATGCTACCGATGTGAAATCCGGTTATCAGACCTTATATTCGACCGGGGCTGCCACCATATACGAAGAAATCAAAGGAAAAGGCATCTTGCCAGATCCCAAGCCACTCCGGATGCCCGAGGAGAAATTAGACAAATCCCGATATTGCGATTATCACAAATCGCCAGGGTACAATACTGATGAATGCTTAAGTTTGTTCGCGGCCTTATTGCGCTTAATCGGCCATCCGCAGCTCAGAATGTTCTACCGCAATACCAATCCCCAGAAACGGGGCCCAGGACGTCAGATTGAATCTTATGACGAAGACGACGAGGAGGACCGAGGTGTTATGCCGAAGCGTATCCGGCAAGGAGACAAGGAAGTATTCATGTTCACTTCGGAAATGCTCGATTCCAATTCAACTGGAACCTCTCGAAGACGCAAGCGAAGCAAATCTCCCAGCCCGATGCAAATAACTATCCACCGCGTCAATACTAACAACACCCAGAGTACATTATCCCGTCGGCAAGTCAAAGCTTACGCTCGACAAGCTTACAACTCCAGTAAACAAGTGTACACTACCGATCTGAGAGACATCCTCAATAACAGGAATTGTCCCATAACTTTTAATATGGAGGATGCAAATCATTTCGCACATCCTCATTCTGATGCACTTGTTATTACTGTTCCTATATGCAGAATCCCAGTACATCGCGTAATGGTCGACACTGGGGCCTACTCGAGCATTTTGATGTTAAAAGCCTTTGACAAAATGGGTCTCGATCCTGCTGATATCCGACCTTGTAATGACCAAATACAGGGGTTTAATGGTAGCATTTCAAAGCCCATCGGCGAGATCACTTTACCTGTCAGGTTTGGCACTTCGGAGAACGTCACCAAACTCGTCATGAAAACTTTTAAAATTCTTGACATCAACAACGAGAATAATGCCATCATCGGCAGAACAGCGTTGTACAAACTTCGAGCTGTGGTTTCGATCTTTCACTACGCACTGAAGTTCCCGACTACACGAGGAGAAGGGACTCATTTCGGAGACCAAAGGGAAGCTCGAGAACTTGTCACTTTCGTACCATCCAGCGGAGTTTATTCCATCACTTCGGGAAATGATGACAATTCCCCACAACGAAACACCTTGGACGATGTGATTTCCGAGGAACCGAATTACAACGCCGTTGTTCCTCCCACCTCGGACCCTTTATCTGAAGACCGAGGTAGGCGGCCAGGGAAGGAGCCACTCCTCGAAGAGGACGAGTTAAACCCAAGGGCCCAATTCAAGGAAAAAAGCCAAAATGATCGAGCCGAACCTGGAGAAGAAGTAGAATTGATATATGTCAATGAACCGATCTTCCACAAATCATTGCGCATTGAAAGTCACCTTCAAGAGCCTCTCCGGTCAGAACTCATTTCGTTTCTCAAACAAAATTCAGATGTGTTTGCTTGGAAACACGAAGACATGAAGGCATCGACCTCGGTGTCGCTAGTCACAAGTTGAACCTCGATCGAACTGTCCGGCCTATTGTTCAAAAACGAAGGAAACTGGGGCCGGATCGTCAGAAAGCATTGGAAGAGGAAGTTAAGAAACTCATCGACAACAAGTTCATTAAAGAGGCCAAGTATCCGACATGGGTCTCAAACCCTATTCTCGTCAAGAAAAGTAATGGTCTGTGGAGGCTGTGTATCGACTTTTCTGATTTGAACAAGGCGTGCCCGAAAGACAGCTACCCGCTCCCGCACATAGATTATATGGTTGATGCCACATCGGGACACGAGTTAATGAGCTTCATGGACACATACTCCGGGTATAATCAAATTCCTATGGATCCTGAAGACTCAGAACACACCTCTTTTTATTCAGCTAGGGGCCTATATTGTTATACCATGATGCCGTTAGGATTAAAAAATGCTGGGGCCACTTATCAGTGTCTTGTTAACAAGATGTTTTCCAGATTAATCGGTCATACCATGGAAGTTTACGTTGACGATATGCTCGTCAAGTCGGTGCACGCCTCTGATCACATAACTCACCTTCAAGACATGTTTAACATCCTCCGAACTTATTCTATGGTTTTGAATCCCAAGAAATGCACCTTTGGAGTTGAGTCTGGAAAGTTTCTAGGTTATATGGTCAGCCAACGCGGAATTGAAGCAAACTCGGCGAAGATAAAAGCTATTCAAGATCTAACTCCCCCAACCTCGGTCAAAGGTGTTCAGGCCCTAACCGGCCGACTTGCAGCACTTAACCGGTTCATCTCTGAATCCACTGATCGTTGCAAACCTTTTTTCGAAGCAATCAAAAAAGGAAAGCGTTTTGAATGGACCGAAGAATGCCAAAAAGCCCTCATCAGCATCAAGGAAACACTCACCTCTCTACCGACCTTACAAAAACCAAAACCCGAGGAGATGTTGTTTTTATATCTCGGAGTCAGTGATTCAGCCATCAGCGCCGTTCTAGTACGTGAAGAAGGACTGTTACAGTCACCGATCTATTATGTCAGCAAGGCATTACATGATGCTGAGTTGCGTTATCCCCCGATGGAAAAATTGGCATTTTCACTTGTTATCGCTGCTCAGAAATTGCGACCTTATTTTCAAGAACATTCTATATCTGTCCGCACTTCATATCCACTATGACAAGTCCTGCACCGACCTGACACTTCGGGTCGCATGATAAAATGGGCAATTGAACTCGGACAATTTGACATCCACTATCAACCGAGGACCGCGATCAAGGCACAGGCTTCATCTGATTTTATCGCTGAATTCACCCCGGCCATAGAAGTTCATCATGACAACCAGCCGTGGGTTATGTATATCGACGGCTCTTCGACAGCAAACCGAGCAGGTACGGGAATAGTCTTGGCGAACCCAGACAATCGATTGTTTTGCCATTCTGTAAAATTCTTCTTCCCTGCAACCAACAATGAAGCCGAATATGAAGCCTTACTATCCGGATCGGATTTGGCCAAATCTATGAACGTGAAACAACTAAAAGTCTTCTCAGACTCTCAGCTCCTCGTCAACCAAATCAATGGCTCATACGAAGTCAAAGAACCTCGGTTAACCCCGTATCTGTCTCTGGCAAAAAGAAGTTACCAAAGTTCGCTGCCGAGGTAGAGCACATTCCACGAACCCTCAATGTTCAAGCAGATGCTCTATCTCGATTAGCCTCAAGTACCGGGATGGAGAGCATGGAGTATGTCCGAGTAGGACAGCAAGAGCAACCATCAACCTTTCTTCCCAAGGTCGCAGTTTTAGACCCCACAACATCGCAAAAATCTCCGAATTGGATGGATCCTATCATTCAATATTTAGAAACCGGGGCCTTACCAGCAAACCCTAAGGAAGCTCGGGCACTTTGGATCCAAGCGGCACGATATACACTGGACAACGGAATTTTATTCAAAAGAGGATACTCCATCCCGCTTTTAAGATGCGTGAATGAGTCTGACTCACGGTATATCCTTGAAGAAGTTTATGAAGGAATTTGCGGAAGTCATCCTGGTGCACAGGCCTTATCTTACAAAGTCTTGCGACATGGTTATTACTGGCCGACCTTAAAAACCGACGCCGCCGCATGGGTTCGCAAATGTCCGAAATGCCAAATATTCACACCCAACGTCCACCAATCTCCCGAGGAGCTCAAATAGATCTACAGTCCATGGCCTTTCGCCAAATAGGGGATCGATCTCATAGGTCCCCTGCCAACCGGAAAAGGAGGCGTCCGATTTGCCATCATAGCAGTTGATTATTTCACTAAATGGGCCGAAGCTGAACCGTTAGTCACGATAACCGAACAGAAAGTCATTGACTTTGTATGGAAATCAATCATCTGCCGCTTCGGAGTACCGAACTCCATCATTACCGACAACGGTAGACAGTTCGAAGGCAAGCGACTTGAGTCCCTGTGCGAAGAATATAACATCAAACACTTTTTCTCTTCACCTTACCACCCGCAATCCAACGGTCAAGTTGAAGCTGTGAACAAGCTCATAAAAAACGGCCTCAAAGTCCGACTTGACGCTGCCAAAGGAGCTTGGCCTGAGGAATTGCCACACGTTCTATGGGCCTATCAGACAACTACCCGAACTTCCACCGGCGAGACCCCGTTCTCACTCACTTACGGATCAGAAGCCGTAGTCCCAGTCGAACTCGGTGAACCTACTTACCGAATTCAACATTTTACCGAAGAGTCCAACTCAGATAACCTGAAAGCCAATCTGGACTTGCTTGAAGAACATCGTACCCGCGCCGAGCTCAAAAATGCTGCTTATAAACACTGGAGCAAAAGATACTTTAATTCCAAATTCAAGCCGCGTACATTCCGAGTTGGAGATCTAGTTCTCAAACGCGTGATGGGGGCCGACCCCGGCCCACTCAAACCGAGGTGGGAAGGACCCTTTCAAATTGTTGAAGTCCTACCCCATGGGGCCTACCGAATCGCTCACCCTGATGGAACTCTACATCAATATCCGTGGAATGCTGTTTTCCTAAAGAAGTTCTATCAATGAATGGTCCGAAGTCGGATATCCGACTCTTCTTTTGAACGGACCTTCCTTTTGCTTCACAGAATGCACGGAGTGACCCTTTTGATGTACTGAAAGTTTACCGACTTTCACTTCTGAAAATCCAAGCAACAACTCGGTACCGATGTAAAACACTTTGAAACTCGGTTCTATAAATATTTTGTACCGATGTAAACATTGCGACACTCGGTCTTGCTGATACCCCGTAATCCATCCAAATCCTACGCATGTTTTGGTTAGGGATTGAAGCTCATCAAACGTCATTTCAACAAACATGATTTGGCGGGTCCCGAAAATCACCGAATACGAAATAAACAACTCGGTGGGGGGCATTCCATAATCGAACTCTGATGAAGTTCGGTGAACCATATTTGTTTTACGTACAGCCCAATAACGTGTTAAGTTTTGCAAAATTCTTAGTAAGTTCGCATACCGACTTACACTAGTGGCTGAATATATTGCAAAGGATCATAGTGGAACTCGGAAATTATTTTTACAAAAACCCCCAACTTGGTTAATGATATGAATAGATCCGAGTTGGGACAATTCATTTCAAAATCCGTACCGAGTTCAGTACACTTGGTCGAAAAATTGCTGAAATTTATACAGCAAACATAAATCAAGACAGATGTTACGCAAACACATCATATTTATATTAGAAAGTCGGAAAAATCCTTACACATTTCCTACTAAGGGAATCAGTAACCTGACATACCCGATTACATATTTATATATTTCCTACTAAGGATGCCAACATGCTGGCACCCCGACTACATATTTCAACTAAAGAAAACTAGAAGCATAAAACCATAAGCGTTCAAGGACTTCAAGCAGCACCGTCCTTCTCCTCGGCATCTTGGCCGGCACCACTATGTTCTTCGACGTCCACCCCGGCAGACAAGCGCTCCAAGACCGTCGCTTCTTTCGCCTTAGCCGCGGCCTCAATGGCCACATCCGACACCGGGACGAACTCATTGCGCGAGTCCTGTACTGCATCAGATGCGTCCTCGGTCGGTGTGACCACCTTGACAATTTCGACTTCCATGTCAGTCGATTTAGCTTTCTCCTCAATATAAGCCTTGACCTTGCTCTGAATCTGCTCCGGGGCCATATCATCAAAATACTGATTAATCTCCACATCGGCCAGAGTCGAAAGATACACATCAGCCAGCTCCTTCCTCTTCTCCTTCTCTCCCTCCAAAATCATATTGACGTAATCACGTCGGAGGAGAGCAGCTCTATCCTCGGAAAGTGGTGGCAAGTCGGGGTTAGTAGCCATTTCTTCAGCTCGGCGAAGCATCCACACGCAAAATTCCCGCTCATCTTCGTCAGCCTCTATGTGCATGCTCTTGACCTCCATATCAAAGCCATATTTCTCGAGCTTGCGAAATAAGAAGAAGCGTAGCTCATCAATATCATAGTAGCCGGCAGTGAATCGTTCTATTACCCATCGGAGATTCAGACAGGTGTTCATCTCGATTTCGAGGTCAGGCCCACCGACCTCATCATCCCCACCGGCGTCCGCAAATTCTGCCTCGACATCATCACCAGACTTCGGTTGAACAACTGCAACGGTCTCCTTTCCATCTTGGAAGCCGATCTCATACATGGTCTCGCCGTAAGAGGATTTTTCTTTTTCGAGCTTCGCCATCTCAGCTTGATGGGCATCTCTCTGTCAGCTCACGAGT